CTCTCTCATTGATGTTTCTAACTCTCTATCCCTCTCCCTTCCTCTCTGTAAAAAAATCAATAAAATATTTTAAAAAAAAGAAAAAAAGAAAAGGACACTTTGGGCTTCAGTAAAGTGCAATGGATTGAAACCCATTAGATATGTTTAAACTGTAAATTCAAGCTATTTAGAAAGGTTATTGGATCACATTTTAAGGAAAGGAACCAATTTATTAAAATTAGGTAAATAGGATAAAATGGATTTTTCTGCCTTTTCTACATGAGCTATACCAGTGGATATAGCAGATAAGGGGAGGAAGTGACTCCTTATAAAGTTATTCCAGCTAATAAATTAAAAGAAAATAAAATTAGAATTTCACCCATTTGCAATTCCTCAATGAATTAATGGATCTCTGCATTGAAGATCAGCCACTGTATCATCAAAAAGTTGCAAACCCCAGCCACGGTGTGCCTTCTCACCAAAGATCGGCCAGAGTCTGCTCAAACTGCTGATTCCGCTGCTGGTTTGTAAGAGACACAGGGGCCCAAACCATACCGAATGGCACCGTGAGTGTCAATCAGTACAATCCAGACTGAAAAACTCCACAAACAGCAGCCTGGGTCTTCAGCAGAAAGTGGAAGGGGAAGAGATGAGGGGGAAACCTGTAGATTAGAGACTGGAAGAAATGACCTTTAAAAAAAAAAGTGGGTAAGACTAGTGTCTAGAGCTGCATACTTGCGATGAAATCACATAGGATACAGGGAGAGCTGGCCTGACATGGCTCAGTGGTTGAGCGCCAACCTATGAACTAGGAAGTCACAGACCGATTCCTGATCAGGGCACATGCCCGGGTTGCAGGCTCGATTCCCAGTGTGGGATGTGCAGGAGGCAGCCGATCAATGATTCTCTCTCATCATTAATGTCTCTTTCTCTCCCTCTCCCTTCCTCTCTGAAATCAATAAAAATATATTTTTAAAAAAGAACACAGGGAGAGAGGTTACTTTTGGGGGGAGAGATGCTGGGACTGGGATAGAGCACGAATGGGCTTGAGGTCGCTGGCGTGAAGGTTTGTGTCCATTTGGCTGGGTCACAGTGCCAATATTTGGTCAAACGTTGTGGATGTTGTGAGGGTGTTTTTTGGATATTAACATTAAAATTAGTGGACTTTGAGCAAAGCAGATTACCCTCCATATTGCGGGTGGGCCCCATGCAATCAGTTGAAGGTCTTCAGACAATGAAGACTGACCTCCCCTGATCAAGAAGGAAGTTTACCACATGCTTCTCCCCATGTCTCCAGCCTGCAATTTTGGACTCACCAAGTCTCCACCACCGTGGGAGCCAATTCCTTAAGGTAAATCTGTATATGCACACACGTCCTGTTGGTTGTTTCTCTGGAGACTCTTGACCAATGCAGCTGGTAAAGTTCTATTTCTTGACCTGAGTGGGAGTGACAAGGGTGTCTGCCTTATAATTCACTGTGTTTGACATGGTTTTTAATGTTTTACTTTATAATGAAAAGGAAAAAATAAAGCATAAATTGTAGTTAGGTATGTAAATATGGAGAAAGGGGATTCTAATGATGAATACCAAACTGTATGTGAGGTTTCCAGGGAGAAAAGGGATGGCCAAGCTTTGCTCTGAATGTTTCTGTGCTGCATACTTCATGTGTCAGACACCGTGTTTGTACATCCTATCTAATAAAAGAGAAACATGGTAATTAGCTGTACCTCCGCTACCCTTCCCATTGGCTAATCAGGGTGATATGCAAATTAACTGCCAGCCAAGATGGCGGCCGGCAGCCAGGCAGCTTGAAGCGAACATGAGGCTTGCTTGCTTCGGTGACAGAGGACTCCAACATTCCCCACCGCCTTGCAGGCATCTGAGCCTCCAGTTTGAAACATTTTAACAAATATAGAAGCTAATAAAAACCCCAGAAACCAGCTTTCAGTGAGCTGGGATCTCAGAGCTGGAGTTGATACATTGTTTCGATTACCCACTTTCAGCAGGGGAGGCCTAAGAGCTGGAGCCTCAGAGCTAAAGCTGGCCCACTT